ACAGGTTGGTCAGTAATGAAGTTCCTCTTGTACAGTAGTAGTTGAAGGTGAAGTTATTGACATTGCTGCAACACAACCAGTGTTGCCTTAATGAAGGTCTGACCTGTTTTTCAAGTGATTCCATGTTTGTTGTGCCTTGAGAGAGAATTCTAATAGGCCTCCTATGTCTTTGTGTGCATGTGGTCTTTTGGTTTACATGTATCTCTCTCAAATATTTCTGATATCTCACAAATAACTAATCTTTAAATATATGCTTTACTGCTTTGTTGTGTGGTATAAATTTTAAGAAGGCTCATGAAGCTTAACACATAGATGTTTGTCTGTGCATAATGAGTTTGATATTTATCAGAGCAAGAAATGCTTCAACTGGAAGCTGTTGAGGAAAACTAAACACATGTTTTATTTAAATGCACTTTTTGTAAGTCATACATATGTGAAGACTGCATAATAATAAGCTTCATCACTTGTGCTCTTCTCCAAGTATAATTAGAATTATCAAGTCAAGGGGGATGAGATGGGCAGGGCATGTAGCACAAATGGGGGAGAAGAGGAATGCATATAGGATATTGGTGGGAAAGCCAGAAGGAAAGAGACCACGGGGAAGACCAAAGTATAGGTGGATGGACAATATTAGAATGGATCTTAGAGAGGTAGGATGGGATGGTATGGATTAGATTGATCTGGCTCAGGATATGGACCAGTGGAGGGCTCTTGTGAACACGGTGATGAACCTTTGGGTTAGATAAAATGCTGGGAAATTCTTGAGTAGCTGGAGAATTGGCGACTCCTCCAGAAGGGCTCAGCTCCATGAGTAAGTAAGTACATATGTGAAGATTACAAAAGGCCTTTAATTCTGATAATAATTAAATGAAGCTTCCTCCTGCTTGAATTTATAGGCCTATATACATAGTGTGATGTGGATGGTGCAACAGGAAGTAGGGGTCATGTGAACTCTGCGGTCTCACGAGTTATATATATATATAAATAAACAGGAACCGGGATAGCTCGGTTTACCAACTAGGATATGAGTTGGTTGACCGGGGAGTTCGGGTTTGATTCCCAACAGGGGCAAGAGATTATTCTCTTCTCCATATCATCCAGACTCTGGGGCCCACCCAGCTTAAGTAATGGCATGACTTGCAGTTTTATTTTTATGGTGCTCATATTTTGATTTTAATCAAGATCAGTGATATAAAAGATGCATTCATGGGTTGTTTAAGTAAGCCCTATTAACTGCAGTGGTTATATGGCATAAAATAGTATTTTTATTATAATTTGAGGTAGTGCCCTGCATTTGGCAGAAAGTTTTGACTGCCATTCCCTGCCAGACACACAAAGTCTAACAGCACTTTAATGAAATTACCTTCAAACAATAGTGGTACAATCATGTTAAATCCAATTTCGTCTCCTAAACATCTGTATGTCACTCTTCATGCCATCTCTTGACAGAAATGCACTGTTGATTAACAAGGGTCTAATGTCTTTGGCTGTGGCAGTTCTAACACAAGTGTTCATAGCCCATCTAGTCACGCTGTGGATGACAAGGGTTAAAAGAGACTCTTTCCAAAGGAATAATCAGTGGTTTGTCCTAGATCTGAACTGGATATCTCCAGAAGGCAAGTGAGATGTATTCTGAGTTAATGGTATGAATTTGTAGAAGTTTTGGTTTCCGATTTCAATGATTAATTCTAAATTTTCATGCTGTAATTGGCCTTGTAATGCCACCTAATTTGTAGTTGCCTAAATTACATACATTAATAATAACTGTCTGTGATGAGCCTACTTGAAGATTCTCACTATTGTAACAAGATTGTTCTTCACACTTTTGCAGATGGTGCTAGGGCAAAGTGCCCAACAAGACAAAAATTCAATTTTAGCCTTTTTCTTCTGTTTATGCTCAAACTGGCTCCCTGATATTGTGCTGACTTAATTGATGAGGTAGTTTGTATACATGATTAAAAATTAACTAAATATTTACAAGTACATTAGAAACTATAAAATATTTTATATCTCCAGTCTGCAGCCGGATTCCACATCCACTAAGAATTGTGATTTCTTAGTTCAGTTTAGTTTATCAAAACATGCAATGATATCACTTTCATATGTAATGGGCAGATAGTCTTGTGGTCATATTTTTATTTATGAGGTGCATGAGTGTAAAGGGATTTCATTATTGGCCAACTCTGTAGCATGACATAAAACAGCAACTTGCAGATTATTTGCTATGAAGCTAAAAGACAGGGACTGTATGATCTGATGTTTTGTTGTTTTAGTAATGTAACTGTTGTGCTGAATGCTTAATATTTATTAACATTGTCAGAACACACAACTTAACATTGGACATGTTTACTCTTGGCATGAAGGACTAAGGGCTATGATATGCTGTTTTCATGTAGTGAATACTAAGTAGAAATGCGTTGTTATGTGAAAATGTCTTGGAAGTACTTTCAAAAAGTACAGGTATTTTCTTTCAAGATCACTGTAGGTCGCGGTGCAAGGGCCGAGAAGGCCCACCCCTTATACATTCATTCTTTCAAGCTGAACAAGACAGATTTGTTTTGCGTATTCAATATCCCTCTTAATGTTAAAATTATTTATTCATTTTCTTTTTAATTGTTAGCAGAACCTCATTTATTTAAATATAAAATTATCCTGTAGAATGCACATATATGACCAAGTTTAGGAGAACATTATCCTGCATGACAGAAGTTAAACAAGAACTGAAAGATGTAAAAATAAATGAACTAAATGATGAAACAATATATATAATTGTTATTCAGTGAGAATTGTATGAATTTATTTCTAATTGTTTCTTTCTCTGTCATTTATAGGCCTTTATTTCAGTTCTTAAATCACCTATGTCATTCATTCACTGAGATTTGAAATCACTGCTAGCTACGTTTGACAGTCCCAGGCACTAAACTGTCAGTGAACAGAATTTGATTGAATATTAATTGTAAAATAATAAATTATTCACATGCAACACAGATCTATTTAAGATCTACTATACATGCACATACCCTTTAGTTGTGCCATGAATATGCAGACTGCCAAGTCTATGTGAACTCCACGAGTATGCATGTGTTTGCTGAGCTCTGTGTTATAGATCTGAATCTGAATAAGTCTGATTCCAACTGTGTGTATGATGTTAATTCAAAAGAGGCATGAGTTGTATGAAATAAATTGTTGTACATATTGAAATATTAATTTTTAGATAACAGTATTTGTATTTACACCCGCAATGATATAAATAAATATGTGACTTTAATGAATCATCTAGTTATGTTGCTGATGTAATGGTACCAAGAATTAAGGTATGAGGTGTAATTCCACACACAATGTAGTTTTGGGGCATATCACAGATGGATCTTGTTAGCAGTTTTCATTGTAAAATTGATTTTTGATACATGAACTTCTCTATTTCAGTTCTGAGCACTTATACTTAAGAATCAAAATAATTCAGCGTATTCTGATGATGTTTGTCAAGATAAGTGAGCAATTTAAACTTCTCATGTGTGAGAGAAACAATTCAGGTTCCTTCTGTTTATAAATTACCATAGTAAAAAGTAAAGCTATCCCTGTAACAGGCCGTGAAGGCCCATAGGGTTGTGAGACGTTAAGGGTCCCACATTACCTTGACAATCAGCTCAAAGATTGCGGTAAAGTCAGCCATATGCGCCATCCGCGCTACCATATGAATCATAATATGAAATAAATGGCTGATATTTACAAAGAAAATAAATTGGCAAGGTTAAAGTTATATATCTGGATAGGATTGAGTCATGCCTCATTCTGAGACTAAAGGAACTGTTGAGGCCATCTTGGATGTCTTGTCTTCAGTAGGATGATAAAAATATACCTTCTGAGGCAAGAGGCATCCTTTCTACATGATTGTGCTATTTCCATAAATATTTTTGTGCCACTTTGAAACATTCTGTTCCTAATTGTTTTCTTATATTGGTACTTCTCAGTGGCATAGCATGACTACCGAAAGCAGGGAAGCAACTTTATATACGTGTATATACATTTTTTCTACATACCCTATAGTTTCTATCTTCTATTTAAAAGAAAACAGCTAATAGTTTAATATGTATTGTATATTTAAGCTAATATATTAAAATAACACATAATTATCAACACAATTTTATAGCCATCAAATGACAGGGTTGTGAACCTGGNTGTAAAATAAATTTTAATATTTGGTATAAATTCTTATGTGCATATTTCGGAAGTTTTTCATGCATAAATGCATACATATTTAAGGGATTATTAGGGCATAAAAATCAGGTCCCTAATGATCAGTTTCGTGAAGCGGTCGCTGTAATGCCGGAGAAAGAGCCCTCGATAGGAGGCTGGGTGGGCCCCAGGGCTGGTCTGGAGAAAATCTCTTGCTCGTTTCGAGAATCGAACTCCGACTACTAGACCGTCGCTATACTGACTGAGCTAACAAAAATATAGAATACATCGAAGAAAAAGTTTATAAAGCAGTTTGAGCCACTGAGACCGATGTCGTGCTATGCGCATTCTCTTCAAATGTGTTTGTTTTCGGGGTACTGACAAAGAGCTGAGTGCACTTCAAGAATGTACGTATACGGTACAGTATTCGTCTGAACAAGCAGATTATCTAAGGCTTGTAATATGCCTCACTTATTTTCGTGAGCAGAAAGAAGAAGCGAGTAGCCCCACTCCTGTTAACATTGTGAACACTGTTGCCAATACCTCCAAGAAACCCAGGGTTGCCATGATCGGAGTTAGAAGCTCTTCTTCTCTCTCTGTTGTGCAGAAGAGGGTCCGCATGAAGTCCCTTTTTGTCTCTAGGTTTTCCCCAGATGTAACATCATCTGATGTTGAGGCATCTTTAAAGGATCAATTGCAGCTTGCTTCCCTTGCTTGCACCAGGCTAAAAACTAAATATAACTCATATGCATCATTTCATGTCTCTGTTGCAGAGGATGATTTTCATCTCATTAATAATACCAGAGTCTGGCCTAACNATCGCTCCTTTTTATGGGCGATTAAGCCCTGAACAAATTTATAGTGTTGAAGAATCAGAGATTTCTCGGCCTTGCTCCCCTGGTGCAGGTAATGATCGTCCCCTTACTCCTCCACCCATGGATCCTGTAGGCAATTCCGTAAATACGGTAAACAATGTTGTTGCCCAGGGGGAGGGCGCTTCTGTACATAGTTAATGGTTATCAAGCCTGATAACAACACAGGTTGTTTTGCCAGGTCTCGCAAGCATCCTGGAAAATGTTTTGACATATATTACTAAAATGTCAGAGGTCTTAGAACTAAACATGTCGAACTATATGACAATATCTGCTCCACGGACTACAATATTATATGTTTAACTGAGACATGGCTTAACGACCTGTGTTACGATCATAATTTATTTCCTGACTGCTATACAGTTTTCCGTTCTGACAGGGCGTCTGTAAATAAGACACGTGGTGGTGGAGTTCTCACTGCCCTATCCTCCAGAATTCGCTCTTGTAAACGCAGATACGATTTAGAATCTTGCGATGAATGTGTATGGGTTGAAATCCCCACTTCAGACGGCCTCAACTTACTCACTGGAAATCATTACTTTCCCCCTGACACTAATCCTGAAAACAATGCTAATTACTTTCGTTTTTTAGAAAACAATCTGGATACCCATAATTTTTGAGTAATTATGGTTGGGGATTTTAATGCCCCTGGTTTCGGCTGGAAAAGTGGTTTAGCTCTGCCCAATTCCCATTATTACCCTAAACTTAAGGGAGATGTGATCTACACTTCCACGTGTCTACTAAATCTTAATCAGTGCATTGATAATGTCAGCGGCAGCAATCTACTTTATTTCATTTTTTCTAACTTAAGCGACATAAATATTACTCCTGTTGACTCTGGACTTATAAAGCCTGACAATTACCAGCCCCCACTAATTATCAATATTTGTTTGTCCCTTGCCACTTGTATTCAAAATTATAAATATTTGTACCGTAAATTTTCGTCTGGGGATTATGCACTGCTTTATAATAATCTCTCAACTTACGACTGGTCGTGTGTGTATGGTACCACCTCCGTGGATTCTGCTGTCGCTGGCCTCAATGCTGCTGTTCAAGATGCCATGGAACATGCATTTCCCCCTGGCATCATAAACACTCGTATGAATTTCCCGCACTGGTATTCTAGTTCCTTAAAGTATTATATAAGGAAAAAGAAGTACTTTTACAGACGTTTTAAGAAAAAGAAATCCGAATGCCTTTACCAAAAATTTTCCTTTTATCGTAAGCTAGTTAACACTACTATTAAGCCTGACAGACTTAGATGGTTGAAATCTGTGGACGTAAATTTAAAGTCGCAACCCAAGCAGTTCTGGAAATTTGTGGCCTCCTTTAGGAAAATAAATTCTAATTCCATCCAGCTTGAGGTTGATGGTAAGCATTTAATGGAACCTCATGACATTGCTGATGAATTTTCAAAACATTTTCAAACAGTGTACCACAATTCTGGTCCTATTTTCTTCCCCAACCTTTTGTCATCTTCCGAATTCTTACCTTTAGCGTCTGTTTCTGATTCCGATTTTATTAAAGCTATTAAGCGCCTGAGACCATCTAAGTCTGTTGGAGTCGATGACATCCCTGGATTCATTATTAAGGGTTGTACTGATATATTTGTACCTATTCTGAAACACATCTTTAATCTAAGCTTATCTCAGCATAA